GGCAGCGTAGCAAGACCAGGATCCTCGCGATCTCTGCGTGCAGCAGAGCTGCCCTTGGGTCCGAACCAGCCCCTCCGGAGCTCTGCAGTGAGAGAGAAGACGCGTCTGCATTCTTTCAGCCGCTGTATTTTGGGGCCTCTGGGCCACAGCAACTTAGCCTTTGTGAAATGGGAAAAAGCAGGTTTCAAAACAGTACACAGGACGCTCGTATTTTTGGCAAAAAATGGACACGCACAAACATACCCACAGGAGGGTAGGAGGGTCCGGGAAGACCGACGGTGAAGGGACTGGTCATGATCGTGTGCTGGTGGGAATTACGGATATTTTCTCTTTCGCTCATCCACATTATCTAATTTTCTATGAACGGAACACGTGCACTCCTCTAGTAATTAAGGAAGCAAGTGGACAGCTGGGAACCGGAGAAACGGAGCAGCACAGTTAAGGAACAAGCCGTCCCTCGGTGACAGGGCTCGCTGGTGGCCCAGGCCAGCTCCCAAGCTCACGGCCTCTCTCATCCCGTCCCCCGCCCCCTTCGCCACCAGGGACACGTGACTGTTTTGCCTCTGTCGGGCTTGGGCAAGCGCGGCCCCGATGAAGCCTGCCGCCGGCAGGACCTGCCTGGTCAGCTCGCACCGAACCCAAGCTCCTGCGGTCCCGGAGGACAGCCGATCTCCAGCGGAAATTTCAAACTCCATGAGCACAGGGACAGGCGGGGGCTGCTCCTGAGTAACTAATCCTCGGAAAGCTGCTGAGACGGTGCTGTGCCTCCTGCTCGTGAACCTTCCGGTGTATCTCTTCAAGCACTAATGACAGGGAGCAGCCAACCTGCAATTTAAAATTCAACTTGAAAGTGATTTTTGAGGTTCCTTTCCACTAACTGCAGGAAGCTGGGGTGGGGATGAGAGCGGGGGAAGGATGGCAGAGACGGGGAAGGAAACCCGCCTGTCCTAGAAAGGGAAGCCTAATTACTCCCCGAGCAGACGCAGACAGACTGGAAGGACCGACGGCAGGCAGGCTGGGCCACAGCGCTCGGCTCCCGCTCATCTTCCAGGGGTGCAGGCTTGGAGGAGCTCCGAGCAGGTGCAGGGGCACTGGTCCACCCTTTCCTGTCAAATGCAGGACAACGGAAGTTCACCGAGATCATCCTCAACGGAGATCACGCCCGCGGAGACGCAGTCGCTGGGAGGCACAGATAAGCAAGGTGAGTCGTCCTGCTCGGTCCTCTCGCCCACAGACCTGGTGGCCCGACGGTGCCTTCAGTTAGTTGGCCAAGGTTCCGGATCTTGTGAGAATCCTGGTGGTGGGGCTGATGTCCCTTCTTCATCCCAACTAGGGTGACCTTACGAGGCTCTCAATTTAGCATCAGGCCCGCACTCTGACAGTCTGAACGCAACGGAAAGTTTGCACATTAACACTGAAAGTTCATCGTTTCGTGCCTGCAGCTCGCCGTCAGTGGTGTGAAGTAGAAAAATATCACTCGATACCAAAAGGCCAATTCCCGATTTAGTTTAGGAAAAAAATCTGGACAGCCCTGCATAGACGTCCTCGTTCCACTCTGTCTGTTCCTCCCGGTCGGCCTGCTCATCAGCAGGAGCCGGGCTGGCAGAAGGCACAGGTAAATGCCTCACTCCTTATCGCGGCAGGAAAGCACCTGCGGGACAGAGACACCCAAGCCCTGGCCAAGGGCACTCGCCAGCAGACACACCCCAGCAGAGCGGGGACTGGTCCCTTTCCCTCGGCCGGGAGGCTCTGCTGCTCCGTAGCCACAGGGCCCGATGATGTGGTCAGTCCCGTACTCAGCCCCTGGGTGTACTGCTGCGTGAGACCCTCTCCTGGTCTACACAATGAGGGGAAACACCACGTACCCACTTGGGACGGAGCACCTGGCACAGAGCAGAGGCTGAGCTGCTGGGCGATGACTAAGTCACGTACTACACCTTGTAGGTCTGGTCTAGAGGTCACAGCAGACAGCCTAAGAAGTAGTATCTGGGTAGCACGCACAGTGATGGCCACCTTCCTTCTGTGAGGGGCACCAAGGGACAGTCCAGGGACCCGATGCCTTGCTCCCAGAGGCAGCTGGCCTCCCAGCTCCCCTGCCATTTGCCACCCTGGCACTGGTCCCAAGCCACTGGTCTCTACTTTGGCTGACTTTGGGTCAACAGGTTCTCTGGATTTTAATGGTTGACACAAAGCTAGTCTCCCTGGTTTCTCTGTCTGTCTCTTTTTTAAAAAAGGTTTCATTCATCTATTTGTCAGAGAGAGAGAGAGCGAAAGCACAGCAGGGGGAGCAGCAGGCAGAGGGAGAAGCAGACTCTCCGCTGAGCAGGGAGCCCGAAGTGGGACTTGATCCCAGGACCCTGGGATCACGACCTGAGCTGGGCAGATACTGAGCCACCCAGGCGCCCCTCGTGTCCGTCTCTTGAAGCACCAAGCATTCACCCTTCCAGCCCCGCTCACCTTTCCAGACCTCACTACGTTTCCTTTCAGCTTTCCCCTCTCAGCACCAAAGAGCACAGGTGCCACAATGGGGAGGCCTTAATGGTTGACTGGCCCAAGCCTTGTATTTTCCCTCCTGCTTTTATTTATTTATTTTTTAAAAGATTTTTATTTATTTGACAGAGATGGATCACAAGTAGGCAGAAAGGCAGGCAGATAGAGAGAGGAGGAAGCAGGCTCCCTGCTGAGCAGACAGCCCGATGTGGGGCTCGATCCCAGGACCCTGAGATCATGACCTGAGCCGAAGGCAGAGGCTCAACCCACTGAGCCACCGAGGCACCCCATTTCCTCCTGCTTTTAATTAGGGAAAGATTTTTAGAAAAGTATATAAAATATAGGAAAAATTATAAAACACAGGAACAGAAGAGCAATCATCACCCACATGCACATGATCAGCTCATGGCCAGTCTTGGTGTGTCTGTGAAACCCCACCCCCCAGCTTCCCTCTTGCAGAGTCGCTATCCGTCTTCATCTTACAGAACACGGACAGGGTGATACCAAGGAATGGTGACTTGTCTGAGCCCCCACCACCGGGAGCGGGGGACCAGAGTTCAGGCCCTGGCCGTGCGTGCCCCGAGCAGCTGGAGGCCCGCTCCCCACCTGCTGCTATAGGCACCTGCATTAAAATTCGTATTTCTCTCTAATGGTGACACTTTCCTGCCTCAATACATTTATTTAAAGTGGAAACTTTACACCTTCCTGTACATGGGAGACAAGCATCATCTGTCACAAGTGGAAGGTATCCCTAAACATGACACAGAGAAAACAATGTCGTTAAGTAGCAACTCCTGCTTGCCGGGGGCTCTGTCAAGCTGGCTCACTCTCCCCTGAACACGGAGGTTGGCAGGAGTTAGATCCCCTGGTACCAGCAGGGTCTGCTCAGGTCTGGTGCAGTCAGGATCTAAACAGTTAAAAATCCACATAGCCTTCTAGAAGGCCCTCTAGTTACTGTGATTTCACCAGCGGCTCCCTCCCCCCCGCCCCACGCCCCCCATTTCAACACCTCTGACACGTGCTGTCAGCCAGCGGGCGGTCATGACGTACTGTCATTTCCACGTGCTCCAACCTGGTCACAGCTGGTGATACTGTCCTCACCGCACATGACAACACACACTGGAGACCCGCGGGGGGGTGGGGGGCCAGTCTATAAGCCATTTCAACGCCTTAGAAAGGATGGGCAGCAACGGGACAAGAAGTTGTCACAGACCCCACGTCCTCAATTCGGGATGTTCTCACAAAGCAACAAACAAGCGTCTTATGAGAATAAGAAGGGAAGAGACCCGCAAGCCGGCAAAGCCATGCTCTAGTCTGTCCCCTGCTCGACAAGGAGAGCCCGGGCAGGAGAAGCTGCCAGCCCCCTCGGAACAGATGAAAGACGTTTCAGGGCAACGAAAGGCTGGTGTGAGCGACTCCCGTGTCACACGGGGTTCTCATGAAGGCCTGGGTTGTGGCAGAACCGGCAGCATGTTGCCTTTCTTAACGGTTCGTGAGGTCGTGGTGCCTCTCACGAGCGGTAACAGCTGGAATGGTATTTAGTCTGTAATCACTGGCTGTACGGAAGCGTTCTGGCTGCCTCTCATCACACCTCCCCAGACCGGGCACTGGAAGCATGCCCATCTCCTGGACGGGGTTCTCAGACTGCGGTCCCCAGCGGATTCCCCCAGGGGCTTGTTGACAATCAGACTGCGGGACCTCACCCCACGGCATCTTCTTCCATTGGTCTGGGGAGGGGCCTGAGGCTCCGCGTTTTTACTCAGCCCCAGGATGCTGCTGCTGGACCACACCCCGAGAGGCAGGGTCCTATCCTTTCCTCCTCACTAAATCCCCTTTGTCCTCAGCTCCTTTGAGCCTGGTGAAGGTAGGTGGGGAGGGCGCGAGCGGTACCAGCACACAGGGGAGAACCACCCATTCTCTGGACATCTCGAGAAGGCAGTGACTCGCTGGCATCTTCATAGCAAGGAGATGGCTGGGTTGGGAAAGCTCTAGAAAACGCCCCCTTCCTTCAAGACCCTCGCCAGGTCAACGTCTCTTCATATAAACAGATTACGGCTTTCCGTATTGGTGTCAAGGCTCTGCATGAACTGGGCCGGCATCTGTTCACAGTAATATTTAGGATAAAACATGGGACAAACAAGCCAGGCGTCCTTCTCATGCCTGCTTACATGTGTTCTAGCTGGTAACATGGGCAGATTCCTTCCCCTTTGGTACGCATGTGTGTTACTGCTTTAGCAGAAAGAAACGTGTGTGTGCTTTCTTCCTCAAAAAGAACAATCCATTTTGCAAACTGCAAAAACGTCTCTGAAATGGAGTATTTGCCAACACTGTCCTCTCTCCTAAAAGCAAGAAGCAAGGAAATGTGTCCTCGGAAAGAACAATGTTTTAAACACAGACGTTACTAAGTGTTTCTTTTTTTTTTTTTTTCAAAAGGCCCAGATCCGCTCACATGATCACTCAACTGAGTGCAGAAGGTGCTTTAAGAAATAGGAGACAAAGCCTTGTCCGGGATACGAAAGGTTTACTGCTTATTAAAAAAAAAAAAATAAGTTACCAAACCAAGCCAAACAGCCAGTGTGACAATATGCATGAACACGGGCTCATTTACGCGGTAACGGCTCATGAAAATGACCTAGAACACAGACCCAGGAGAATCAATTCGCCAGCGCTGCTAACATGCAAGAAAGAACAGGCTGCATAACCGTCTTATTCTGAGTTCTAAAAAGGTCCTCTCTGCCTTCCATAAACCAGTGACAGTGTATAATTAGTCCCAAACACACGAGATGGAATCTGCCGGGGAAGCAGCTCCGCCTTAATGCAGGACTGCTTGATGGTCGGGGCAGAGCGTAGACCTGGGTCTGGGCCGTGAGGACAGGTCTGAGCCATCCTCGGACTGAGGGCTCGTCTGGGAAGGTGCTGGGCGGGGCCGACAGGCCCACCGGGCTGGGGCTGGGGCTGGGGCTGGGGCTGGGTCACTGTCGGCAGGTGTCGTGGAAGGCTTCGAGGGTTCGGAAATCCCTCCACGTCGGGGGAAGGCCATCTTGTAGAAACTTCCCGCAGCGCTGGCACGGGGCCTGGAACAGCTTTATGTAACTTCTTAACCAGGTCTAAAAGGAGAAGTGAGGAGAGAAATAAAAGAAATGGGATCCGGGTGCTTCCAATGTCATCCTTCCTGTCAAGCCCAATGACCTCGAGGCCAGAGAACTCAAGTTGGCTGTGACCCAAAAGACGGCCCGTGATTTCAGAGAGCGTTGCACGCAGAGTTCACAAGGTCACAAGGCCGCTGATTCTCAGTTGTGGTGCTGCCCCAGGCACCCCCCACCCCCGCAGCTGAGGGTATTTTTAAAATAGGAATTCCTGCTCCCAGGGGCAGGAAGTACTCCCTGGAGGAGCGGCCGTGCACTGGCGCACAGCCTGGGGCTCGGGGCCACACACAACCACGTTTCAGTCCTGTGTCCCGTGACCCCTGAAGATGTGCACTGGTCCTCGCCTCGCTCCCGGCCGAGGAGCGGGCACGGACGCTGTGGAGGGAGACTCCGCGTCGATGACAGTGTTCGAACTCTCTACTGAGGTCAACATGCCTTCTTCTAATCTGATTTCAGAGGTCATCGCTCACTGTCACAATGAGGCCCAACGCACCTGGGGGAGGGCGGGGACACCTCGGTGCCCCCGAGTAACATAATAAGAGGTGAATACACACTCGAGTGGTTCAGAGTGCAGGGTTCTCCCGGGCGTCATACATAAGAATGAGACTCCCGTAACTCAATTCTCAAACTCAAGGAGATTTGCTACAAAAAAAAAAAAAAAAAAACACCAACCCAAACCCCACAACAACGGGCAAGCAAGTTAAGCAAGTTCTCACTGTGACAGGCGCACATGAATCTCATCCTTTAATGTCCTCCTGAATTATGTCGATAAGAGAAAATTGTTCTTTCAAGAGGGAGGTCGAGTTTATTGATACAAATCCTCTGTCTCCATCACAGCTGCCTTGGCGGTGGCCGACTGTGGCCCATCGCTGCCGTCCCCCTTCCCACGGCCAGGTGGCCGAGGTTCTGGCTCTAAGTGCGTGGCAGTCGATGACCGTTCAGCCGGGCTGTTGATCCTCCGGTGGCGGCCAAAGCCAGATCCTCCCCAAATCCCAGAGTCAGTTACCAAAGGGAAACTGGGCATGACAACATGTTAGGTTAAAAAGCAAGACCCTCTATCTGTCCAAAAAGGAAGAGCTCGCGGAGGCTGTCGGGGGACCATCCTCCCGACGCACGAGAGAGCCCCTCACGCGGCTCTGCCGTGCGCCCGGGGCTGCTCGCTCACCCCGCAGCGCCGTGAGGCTGATCAGTAAGTCGGGCTTGTGTCTTCCAAGAAATGAACTGTGGGTTCGCTAGGAAGCTCACTTGCTGAGGCAGCTGACGTGATGACGCGGTGAGCACTACCGCACCTGGCTGTCAACACTGATTTGGACTCGCTAACAGGTAGGTCTTCCAGCCGGTCTCTACCTGGCAGCCTTCCAGCATGCACTGAGAAGGGAGCTTCAGCCGCAGCGAGAGAGGGAGCCCACCAAGGGGAGAGCACAAAGCCGTGTCTGCACGATGTGGACACACACAGCTGCCATTCTGGCTGGAAGCACCGAGCTCGGGCCGACCGGGGGGTCACATGGCAGACCTGGGCAGAGGCGTGCAGGTGAGCCAGCCCCCGGGGCGGCGGCAGGCTCTGACCCACAGCGCTCGCTGACGTCGGCGGTGCCAATGTTCTGGTTCAATTTCAAGCTACTAGGGGTCGAATAACCAGGTTGCAAAATTCTCGACATTTCACAAGAGCTGGCAGGAGCCGATTCCAACACACCAGTACAATGGCTGTCTGGCTGTTTTGGGGTCACTCCCCATCCTGAGCTCCAACCTGAGAACGTACATGTCTTGGGGGGCACTGCAGGAGTTGCCTTAGTCATTGGCACCTGCTCAGCGCCAAGCACAGGGCCTGGCATAGATGAGGCGCTCAATAAGTATCTACTGACTGAATCAATGTGGGTAGCTGTGTTGGGAGATCACTTCTGAAACCACCATTTGTTCAGCCTGACAGAGTACACCAGTTAATTAAGTGGGAAACGGATTCTCATAAATCCCTTCCCAGTGTAAAGAAAGCCTCAGTTCTCCAGGCTGGCCCGTCTCCCACGGCGAGGCCCCGCGGCCCAGAGGCGGAACAGCTACCTTCTGAGCCGCCCGCTCTGACCTGGGGGGAGCCGAGGGTTTTGAAGAAGCGCCTCCTGAGGCCACTCACCATGAAGGACCTGACCACGACGTCCGGCATCTGGGGCAGCTGGTAGTGCAGCAGGGCGGTGGTGGCGTGGTCTGTCACCTGGAACCAGGGACAATGACAGGGGTTAGAGGCCACTCCAAAGCAGCACGGAGAAAAGAAAACCAACGTGTTCCCTTTCTGTGATAAAGAGATCTGAAGGAAAGGGCATCTAAAACAAAATCTCAAGTACGAAAATCAGTGAACAAAGCTGGGGAGCAGGAGTGTCGCAGGCAGAGGACACCAAGCATTCAGGCCTGGAGGTAGGAGGAGTGAGTTCCAGCAACAACTGGAAATCGCAGCAGGGGGGCGGCGGGGATGTGCACCTGAGAGGAGGGCCATGGCCCACAGCCAGCGGAGGGGGAAAGGCCAGCAGGCCCCAGAGATTTTTAGCTAAGTCACTGCAGGATGAGACTGCACGGATGCAAAGAAGCTTTTCCACCTGTTCACATTCGACTTCATCTTCACCTTGGAAAAACGTCCCTGGCGGGGAACTGGTCTTTCTGCTTCCTATAATTCTCATTCTGTCTCACAGTTTGTTGTCAGAGAGATTTTGGATTCCATCACCCAGAATCTGGCAATTTCTCATGATCTTTCCCTTGGGTCTCACAGTTCCTACTACCCTTCCGAGGTGCCTTGCCACTCAAAATGTGGTTTTCTCTCCCTAAGCTGTGGCCCGTTTTCAGCATCCTGGTGAGCCACACCCACTGTCTCCACACTCCAAGTGGAGGATTTATCAGCAGGGCTGAGGGCAAGACTGCTTTAGGCCTTCTAGAGGCAACCGGTGACCAGACAAGGCACTGTGGGCTTAAGCCCCCAACTACTTAATCTCTCTGGGTCTCAGTGTCCCTTCTGGAAAACAAAGGAGTAATCTAAGATCCCTTGTAGTTCTGAAATGTGACACCAGAAATTGCTAATGCCTGCCACGAATCAGCAAATTAATAAATAATATACCTGATTTGACAGTTGTTCAAAGTCCTGGTTTAGCTGTCTTCAGTAGGATTCTTGTCATTACAAATGTTGTGGTTAAAAAACAAAATGAAACAAACAAACAGTAAAACCCCATGTAAATGTTCAACTCTGAGCAGGAGTAACATGGGTCTACCTGGTGTAGACTTCCCCAGTTTCTACATGTCCTCGGACACCATGTGATGTGCCAATGGACCTAAGCGGCAGGGGACAAAGCCGTCAGGTGGAAGGAACCCAGAGAGGCTGCTCCAGGCTCCACATGGTGAGTCTGCAAACGATCTAGTAGTCAGTCTAGCTGTGTCCACGCTCAAGGTCAGAGAGGCCACGCTCCAGACAGAGGACAGAGGCTCCCTAGCTTATAGAACCTGAGCCTCACTTCCCCTAAGTAAATGGCCGTGCATGGGAAGCACCTCCCACCCAGCCAGGCTGCAGCCCTGCCTGTCTCGCCTCCCTTCTGCTCCTCTCGTCTCCGGACAAGCACTCTTTCCCTGCTGGACTTCCGTGGCCTGCCTGGTGGGGGGAGAAGCCACAAGATGAATAGCTCTGTGGGGTCAGGATCATGCCCATCTCGTTCATGCTACGTCCCCAAGGCCTAGAACACCGCCCAGCACCCAGCAGCTGCTCAATAAATACATATTTGTTGGATCAAGAAATAAACTTAAAAACGTCCACTCACCAAAGGCCACCTACCAGGAACACCTGTGCTGACTTTCTTGGAAACATAAGCTACAGGTCACATATCCAACACTGCTGAGAAATTGTTACCCAAGTGACTTTCAGATAAGTGGTACTTATCCTTCTAAGTGCAGACTGTTTTTATTTTAAGCATTTCTGACAGACAACTTTCTAAAATGAGCAATGTTTTTTTTTTTTTTTTTTTAAACAGTAGTAATGATAACTTGGCAAGATGGTGGGTGGTGATCATGGGGTGAAATTATGGCCATAAAAACACAGCAAAGCAAACTGGGCCCCATGGCCCCTGAGCTCGGAGGCTGCTTCCCGCCCACCCGGACCCATCGCTAAATAAAACCACCCGTGCACATGCCATTTTGTGGAACATTTACGAAAGAGAGTTTCTGGAGAATTCTTTCTCCAGCCCCTGCTATTTACTTTATAATGCTTCTAACAAGCCCTGCCCCCCCATGTCAGTGCCGTCATAGCCGCGAAGCCAGGCTAGTTGCTCGCCGGTGGCATGCTGTCCCCTAGTTAGGGGTGCGCTCCTTTCCCCAGATGCGGAGAGCTCATCACTAGTCCCAGGAGTCCCCTGGGACGGGGCTAGATCTGTCCACTTCAGCAGACTGAGCAACCGTCCTGGGGCCAAATTCCCCAGTCACACTGGCTGCCCAGAGGCCACGGCCCAGGTTAGCTGTGCGTTTTCTTTGTTCTTCTTTGTAGAATGTGTAACAGGAAACATTGTATATGCCCAACATATAAAATTCGGCAGCACACTGGAAGTTAACTGAGGTGGGTGTACTCTGCTTCTCATTTTGAAGAGGAGGAGACGGAGACTTCCAGAGGTTGGGCAGGCGGCTGCTCACACAGCTGGGGAGGGACAGTGGGGGCCCGAAGCCTGGACCACCCCTCCCAACCCGGCCGGCAATGCAGGTTCTGGAAAAGGCACAGGCCCCAGGGGCCCGGGCATCGTCTGCCTCGAGTCCCAGCCCAGTGAAGTCCTCAGTGCACCAGAGGCCCGATGAGAAGCCCAGGTCAGGAGATGTGCAAACGTGGCTGCTGGACAGCTGGGCACTTGAGAGCAGAACAACCGACCGAATGGACCAGAAAATCCTCTGGGTCCTGCTCCAGATCCAGCTTAGCGCTCTTTGGCCTCTGGCTCCTGGAGAGGGTGCCTCATTAGTTTCTCTATTAGTAGGCTGGGAATCCGGCCCAATTTAGCCACTTTTTCACAAGGTCCAGTACAGACTACTCCTTTATATTGCCAAACGGTGGCAGTTTTTTCTTGTGCTGATACGATCATTTAATTTCCCCACTTTCCCATCACAAATGACAGACATCTTACTAGAAGGAGACAGAACTGACAGATTTGTTGTATTTTCTCTCTCTTCCTCACAAACTCCTCCACTACTAGTTTCGGGTTTCTTGTGGCCAAACTCCAAAGCACCAGGCTCATCCACGGCTGCAGAGTGTGGGGAAAACTCACCTGCGATGGTCCACCTTTCTGTCAAGCATTCTACCTTCACTGTTTTCTTGTTTTAAATTTTTCAATAATGAAGTTTTTTTTGTTGTTGTTTTGTTTTGTGTTTTGCTCAGCATCCAAGATTTTGAAGAAAAAAAAATACCAGGCTGGGAGGCAACAAAAACATCTTGCTATTAACCAATTTAATTTAAATCTACTCTGTGCCAGCCCAGCCAAGGCTTAGGCCCCACCATAATGGCCCCAAAGTAAGGTACAGCTCCCAGGATTCCACTGGGAGATCAAAGCCACCCTGCCCGGTGGGGGAGGCAGAGGAAGGGCACTAATGCTTCCCGAAGGGGAGGCCATTCATCCCTCCAGTGAGTGCGGTTAGGAAAGCCCTGAGAACAGATCAAAGCAGACCTCAAGCTGAGCAGTGGCAAGGGAAGGAGGAGCAAAGTAACAACAGACCAGCAAGACAGGGGACCCCCACAGAGAAAAGCAGAGGGGACCAGATGCCAGGTCAGCAGCGAGGGCAGGAGAAGTTCAGGCACAGAGGGACCGGGCCACTCAGAAAGCAGTGGGCGGGGCGCCCTGTGGGCTCAGTCGGTAGAGGGTGCAACTCTTGATCCCGGGACTGTGAGTTTGAGCCCCCCCGCTTTGGGGGCAGAACTTATTTAAAAATAATAAAACCGAAAAGCAGTGAGCAGACAGCCACACAGGGGCTCTGCCGCCGAGAGCTGTCCCTTTCCACTTCCTGGCAAGGACCACGGCGGACGCCGGGGCTCGGTGTGGGGTGCCCTCCCCCGGCCGGCTCACTGCCGGTGGGTTCCCGAGGAGGGCGCCACCCCCGCGGCCATCACGGAGCTGAGGGGCGTTATCAGTCTCCGTCAGTCTCCTCTTCCTCCTCTGCCAACCAGGGCTTCCCGAAATTCTCTCCCCAGCTCAGCCTGGCAGCGAAGGTCTTCAGGCGCCCAGACCGGCGGGGAACTAAGCTCCCAGGGGGAAAGGAACCTTTCAAGAGCCCTTGAAACAGCTGCCAGTCAACGCGCTGCTGCCGGAGATGCCGGTCACAACAGGCTCCTGAAGCTCCTGCACCATACTGCGCGCGAGGGGCTTCTGCCGTCTTCAGCCCGAGAGCGGGAGGGTGCGCGGGACATCATGGGTCATGTCAGCCGAAGGCAAAGCGGAGCTGCCTGCCGCGGGGGCCGCAGCCGCGCTCGAGGTGGTCTACACCACACGGCGTGGCAGGAGTCGGCGCGGGCTGAGCGCGGTCTGCTACATTCTAGCCGCAGGACCTCGGACAAGGGTTCAGTGGCCGGGGCAGGGAAGGCACTAGAACAGCAGCACCCGCCCTGCTGTGGGTCTTCCGGGCGTTCTCTGGCTCCATCCTCACGGCCACGGCGGGAGGGCGCTGTGATGAACCTGCCCGTTCCCGAGAGAGGAAGGGGTCCCGGGAGGTCAAGTGTCCGGCCGCTCAAGCAGCCCCAGAGCCGCACAGCAGGCGCCTGCGCCCCGACAGAGGCCGCAGGGGTGCGGAGAGGCGGCACACCCAGGCCACCCCCTCCCTACAAGGGAAGGGCCCTCAGGTCTCGGAGGAGGCAGGACTCGGTGCCCAGCTCTTGCCACTCACATGGCTCTCCCTCTGCCTCTCACCCCCTGTCACAGCCCTGGCGCCTATCCCACTGCGCCCCCCCCGAAGGTCTCTGGGTTGAGTCTCCCTGCCACGCAGAATGAGGGGGGACGGGGCAAACTTTTGAGAGCTGGCAGCATTCGGTCGGCGAGCACACGTTAATGAAGGGAAATCCAAAGAACGTTGTGAAAGAATGGGGGGGGCTGCTACCCAGAGGGGGGTCCTCTGTTACATTTGGCACATCAAGTCCAAATTCATCTTCCCACTGGTGGCCTCTGGCCAGCTGCGGGGCCGAGAGCACAGGGCTGGGGCCGGCAGGGCTACTTTCTG